AGGAACAAAATGCTGCTTTGTGAAGGCCGCGTGGAAGCGGTTGCTCAAGTCATCCCTCAATAAGACAACCAATTCCTCGCCATCTCTTCTTCTTCTTCCCACTCATGCCATAAACTTCATAGGCACAACTTTTAAGCAAAAGTAGGAAAGAGGCATTGAGGACTACCATGCACCAACACCGGAATGCGTCTGTGATGCAAGACCAACAGCCGCCTCCTATGAGGCTTATTGCAAGCTTTGTTAGTAAGTCAGCGTAATAAAGAGGAAGAGGAAAGGGACAGGGAAATGAAGGGAGAAAGGGATTGCGTTCCGTAAGTAAAAAGCCGCCTTAAAAAGGCATAAAGTGGTGTTAAGGCGTTAATAGCATAAGCCATTGCACATCACAGGTGGCTTGAGGCATTCGGGTGAGGTCTGTAACTACTTCGATGCTTGACTGTCACAAGAATGTGAAATCACCTTCTCCATCCTTTCAATAAAGGAGTGGAAAATGAACGACCTGTGCTTCGCCTTCTCACTCATCCTCCCTTCCCCCTATTGGGTTAGGCGAGGTGACTATAACCAAACCGATTTCCACTTTAATGCGGTGGGGAGCCACAATCACCAGATAAAATTATGCTGCTGCTGCTGCTGCTGCCGATGATGATGATGAAAAGGAGGAGGAGGAGGAGGAGGAGGAGAACTAACCCGTTGGTGTGTCCGATTCACTGGTTGTGACAATTTTACAACGCCCCGAGGTAGAAGAAAGCATCTGGTTGTTAGTAGTCCATTCAGGCAAATTATTCGTGTTTTGTTGCACGGAGGGAAAGAGTAGATCCACTACGGGTCTCAACAGTCCCTGATCGAACCGCTCTGTCCAGAGATGGAAAGGAACTGGATGGAGGGTGTCACTGAACCATTTCTCCTTGTCTCCTATCTCGCCTAGGCACAGAGATTCTTCATCCACTCTTCGGTACACCAAATTGTCTGGCATCAAAGTCCACTCTGCAAAGTACTCCACCGCCTTCAAGGGGGGGAGAGAGGAGGAGGAAGCTGTTTAACGTCCGCCCCTAGTTCTTAACTCACCTTTTATGTTGAGAAAAGTAATGG